AAGCCCCCCCCCACTCCCCCCAAATCTGGTTGGAAAATAAAACGCTTTGTCTCCACAACCACCCCCCACCGCACCCCTGCCCGCGCGCAGTGTGTGTTTTAGACGTGTGGAGATCTCAGTCCCCTCCAGTAGCACAGAGAAAGCAGCCAGCCAATCAGAGAGCCCGGTTTCATAAAAGCTGCTCCCTGATTGGCCAACTGCGAAAGGGCATTGGGAACAAAGAAAAGTCCCTTTCAGGTACAGAGGCTGACAGCGCTTCTGCTACACTCCCGTGTGTGTGTGTGTGTGTGTGTGTTTCAGTTCTGATTTCAGTGTTGCAGAACAAGCTTGAGTGTGTGTGTGTGTGTGTGTGTGTGTGCACCAGGGGGGTTTTCATTTCGTTTTTTCTTTTCTTTTTGTAAAAAAGATACACAGGACGGTCTGTGGCATTTGATGGTCCATCTTCTTTAATAATAAACAAAAAATTGAAGAGATTAGAATTTCCAAAATAAAGCGGCTGCAACCACACACACCCAGTGCAGTTAGAAGGAAAAGGTCACCTCGATGCAATACAGACCGTAAGTACGGTTGCGTGGTGTGTCTCTCCAGCACGGAGCGGGGACTTCCTGCCGGGGAACGTGCGAATTTTATGCATTGAAATGAGGAACTCGTTATAGGGCTTGGCTCCCCCCCCTCTCTCTTCCTGTTAGAACAACCCAAGAAGGGTGAATTATTCAGTGGAGGGTGAAGCATTTGTAACTTCTTCACACCAATGAAGCTTGACTGGGCGCTTGGGGGTCACTTAGAGTAAATTACCTTCGGGGCTCTAACCCAAATGGGAAGTGGCACGGTTACCCCCCCTCCCCCGTTCTCCAGTGCACCTTTAAGCCCCCGTCTTCTCCTAAACTAGCTGGGCAGACCCCTCCTCCCCTTTTCCCAGCCTGGGAAATGGGACGAGGACACAACCAGCCGATGTCTGTCTCCTGTCACATCCTACTGCCTAATAATTTAATATTAGCCACCCCTTCCATGGCATGGCTATCATGCTCATTTCCCACCTTCTTTTTAAAAAGAAAAAAATGAAAGCCAGCAGCAAAGACACCATGAAGAAGGGGTTGGTGGCGGGGGGGGGGGGAGGCCCCACCAAGCCCGCACACAGTAACCACGGTGCGTTGATTGCAGGACCTCGCTCGGGAGCTGGAGCACAATGTTTTTCTTTGTTTAGTGGTCCCTAAAACCCCAGTGGGTAACCTGGTGTCCTCCTCCCCTCCTCCCCACCCACCCCTCCTCCCACCCACCCCTCCCCCCCTTTCCAGGCGGCCGATGGGGGTCCCTCTGGGGAAGACGCAACAAATTGCGGGGGGAAGTTGAGGAAAGGTTTATAAGGTGTTTCCTTCCAACATCTGCTCTGCCCTCGCGCTGCTTGCGTTTCACTCCTTCCCAACTTCCGAGACGCTGGGTCTCAGAGATATTTCACATTCATAACTTGTAGCTAGCTTCCCCCCTCAACCCGACTCTCCTGCGGGGGGGGGTGGAGGGGGAGGGGAGACCTTCAGCGTTTGGGTTTTTTTTTTAAAGACCAGATCAGTATTTTCTTGATACGCCTGTCACCATTTTTGTTCTCACGACAACCAATTGAGCCCTTGATCCTCACGTGATCGCTCCTTTCAGATGGTTGGTGGTTGCTAACTCGCCCATCC